TATATGCCTCTACATGCGGTATATGCCTCTACATGCGGTATATGCCTCTACATGCGGTATATGCCTCTACATGCGGTATATGCCTCTACATGCGGTATATGCCTCTACATGCGGTATATGCCTCTACATGCGGTATATGCCTCTACATGCGGTATATGCCTCTACATGCGGTATATGCCTCTACATGCGGTATATGCCTCTACATGCGGTATATGCCTCTACATGCGGTATATGCCTCTACATGCGGTATATGCCTCTACATGCGGTATATGCCTCTACATGCGGTATATGCCTCTACATGCGGTATATGCCTCTACATGCGGTATATGCCTCTACATGCGGTATATGCCTCTACATGCGGTATATGCCTCTACATGCGGTATATGCCTCTACATGCGGTATATGCCTCTACATGCGGTATATGCCTCTACATGCGGTATATGCCTCTACATGCGGTATATGCCTCTACATGCGGTATATGCCTCTACATGCGGTATATGCCTCTACATGCGGTATATGCCTCTACATGCGGTATATGCCTCTACATGCGGTATATGCCTCTACATGCGGTATATGCCTCTACATGCGGTATATGCCTCTACATGCGGTATATGCCTCTACATGCGGTATATGCCTCTACATGCGGTATATGCCTCTACATGCGGTATATGCCTCTACATGCGGTATATGCCTCTACATGCGGTATATGCCTCTACATGCGGTATATGCCTCTACATGCGGTATATGCCTCTACATGCGGTATATGCCTCTACATGCGGTATATGCCTCGACATGCGGTATATGCCTCTACATGCGGTATATGCCTCTACATGCGGTATATGCCTCTACATGCGGTATATGCCTCTACATGCGGTATATGCCTCTACATGCGGTATATGCCTCGACATGCGGTATATGCCTCTACATGCGGTATATGCCTCGACATGCGGTATATGCCTCTACATGCGGTATATGCCTCGACATGCGGTATATGCCTCTACATGCGGTATATGCCTCGACATGCGGTATATGCCTCTACATGCGGTATATGCCTCGACATGCGGTATATGCCTCGACATGCGGTATATGCCTCTACATGCGGTATATGCCTCGACATGCGGTATATGCCTCTACATGCGGTATATGCCTCGACATGCGGTATATGCCTCGACATGCGGTATATGCCTCGACATGCGGTATATGCCTCGACATGCGGTATATGCCTCGACATGCGGTATATGCCTCGACATGCGGTATATGCCTCTACATGCGGTATATGCCTCGACATGCGGTATATGCCTCGACATGCGGTATATGCCTCGACATGCGGTATATGCCTCGACATGCGGTATATGCCTCGACATGCGGTATATGCCTCGACATGCGGTATATGCCTCGACATGCGGTATATGCCTCGACATGCGGTATATGCCTCGACATGCGGTATATGCCTCGACATGCGGTATATGCCTCGACATGCGGTATATGCCTCGACATGCGGTATATGCCTCGACATGCGGTATATGCCTCGACATGCGGTATATGCCTCGACATGCGGTATATGCCTCGACATGCGGTATATGCCTCGACATGCGGTATATGCCTCGACATGCGGTATATGCCTCGACATGCGGTATATGCCTCGACATGCGGTATATGCCTCGACATGCGGTATATGCCTCGACATGCGGTATATGCCTCGACATGCGGTATATGCCTCGACATGCGGTATATGCCTCGACATGCGGTATATGCCTCGACATGCGGTATATGCCTCGACATGCGGTATATGCCTCGACATGCGGTATATGCCTCGACATGCGGTATATGCCTCGACATGCGGTATATGCCTCGACATGCGGTATATGCCTCGACATGCGGTATATGCCTCGACATGCGGTATATGCCTCGACATGCGGTATATGCCTCGACATGCGGTATATGCCTCGACATGCGGTATATGCCTCGACATGCGGTATATGCCTCGACATGCGGTATATGCCTCGACATGCGGTATATGCCTCGACATGCGGTATATGCCTCGACATGCGGTATATGCCTCGACATGCGGTATATGCCTCGACATGCGGTATATGCCTCGACATGCGGTATATGCCTCGACATGCGGTATATGCCTCGACATGCGGTATATGCCTCGACATGCGGTATATGCCTCGACATGCGGTATATGCCTCGACATGCGGTATATGCCTCGACATGCGGTATATGCCTCGACATGCGGTATATGCCTCGACATGCGGTATATGCCTCGACATGCGGTATATGCCTCGACATGCGGTATATGCCTCGACATGCGGTATATGCCTCGACATGCGGTATATGCCTCGACATGCGGTATATGCCTCGACATGCGGTATATGCCTCGACATGCGGTATATGCCTCGACATGCGGTATATGCCTCGACATGCGGTATATGCCTCGACATGCGGTATATGCCTCGACATGCGGTATATGCCTCGACATGCGGTATATGCCTCGACATGCGGTATATGCCTCGACATGCGGTATATGCCTCGACATGCGGTATATGCCTCGACATGCGGTATATGCCTCGACATGCGGTATATGCCTCGACATGCGGTATATGCCTCGACATGCGGTA